TGAACCATGGTGGAAAGGACCCTACATGGTTCTCCTGACTGCGCCAACGGCCCTCAAAGTAGATGGGATTTCAGCTTGGATCCACGCTTCCCACGTCGAGAGCTCCGACCCAGGAGGACACTGGAAAATGGCATCTACACAGGACATCCAACCCTCTAAAAATAAGACTCTCCAGAGATACTTAATAATTCTATTTGTTTATAGGCTTTTCCCCAGTTATGGAAGTCCCCATCTCCCTGTGCTGACTACCTGGCCGGGAATTAATCAAATGGGTGTTGTAATATTTGAAATCCACAAGATGGCACCCAAGGACACTTGGTGGCCCATCTTGTATCCAGATTTGTGTAAATTGGCTATAGGAGCACCAAAGCCCTGGGATGCAGGAGAGTGGCTTAACCCCATAAATGCTTCTGAAAACCCACCCCCTACCGGGGGGATGCCTAACCCTATGGGGAGCTCTCCTTATACCTTAACCTTCTATGTCTGCCCAGGTAATCATCGAGATAAGTGGCTTAATTCTAAATGTGGGGAGAGGGACTACTTTTACTGTAAAAATTGGGGATGTGAAACAACTGGGGACACCTGGTGGTCTCCATCCTCATCCTGGGATTACATCATTGTAAAAGCAAATTATTCTCACAAGAACCCGAATACTCCTACTCAGGACTGTAAAGGTAAATGGTGCCATCCTCTTCGGATGACATTCACAGCAGCAGACAAAAAGGCCACAGGATGGGACAAGGGGTATTCTTGGGGAATTAGACAATATAAGGAACAGGCTGATGATGGCCTTCTTTTTACTATTAAAAGAGACAGCTCCTCCTATCCAATAGCTATAGGTCCCAATCCTGTTTTACTTATACAGAAACCCATCCCCAGTTACTCAGATCCCTTACCAGCCTTGCCCTCTCTTAACACCTCCCCCACTAACATTCTGTCAGAGCAGACCCCCCATTACCCAAGGTTACAGGTTTCAACCACGGGAAACCGGCTGTTCAATCTAGTTCAGGGAGCATATAAGGCCATCAGACAGACAAACCCCAACCTAACTGAATCTTGTTGGCTGTGTCTAGCAGCAACACCTCCCTATTATGAAGGTATAGCTACATTAGGAACATTCAACAACACCACCTCAACCGATCAGTGCCATAGGGAAACCCCTCATCCCCTAACTCTTACAGAAGTCTCAGGATCTGGACTCTGTCTAGGAAACCCACCTTCAACTCACACCCACCTTTGCAACTCCACTATACCTGTACCCTCAGGGGTAGGAAATTATTATCTCCTACCCAACAAGGGACTTGGTGGGCATGTAATTCTGGGTTAACTCCATGT